CGGAGTTGGAGTCGGAGTCGGAGTTGGAGTCGCCGAAAATCCATAGACTCCGCAGCCCTGCGGCTACGTGCCAGGGGCGTCGGCACAGATTTTCGACAGGGGGGACGAATCGGCCGACTAAAAACCCAAAATTAGGAATAGTTACCGTACTTTTTCAGGCAGGCCGATGCATTATCTGTTCAACGATACTGGGCTGAATTCCTACGCAGTACGCGTCTGAAGTATTCATTTTTACACGGTTAAAGGAAAAGGGCCACCTTCGTGAAATATGAAGATATCGTTGTTTTTCATTTTGACATTATTATTTTCATTTTCTTTTTAAAACTGGTGCCAGAAGTGCACAATTCGCGAAAAAGTATTTAAAACTATTTAACATATTGGTACTATGTTGATACTCTCTACGGCACCTACTGTATGATGGCATAGCGATGACGTCACACTCAAGCCAATCAGCGTTCAGAAGACAGACTCGTCGGATTGTGTCAGATAAGCTGATTGGTTAAAGCTGAGCTGGTTGGAGCTGATTGGTAAAAAACCAAAGCCTCGCCGCGGGTGGCTGTATTGTCGGATAAGAACGCATTCCTGGGATAAGGACGCATTCCTGGCGTATTTTCTTTTAAAATTGCCGATAACTACGAATGGAGGCCGAAATCGGCTGTAAGGAGGTAAACAGCCAGGTTTTCGGACACGGGCTACAAGATGGCTATCTCAGTTTCAATCCCCATGTTAAAGGTGGCCCTTTTCCTTTAACCAGAGCCTCCGGTCTTCTATCAGGGTATAATTGTTGACACATGCCGTCAATCTAATAGTTAACTGTTAATGTATACATCATACGCATAGGCGGCGGAACGGGGAGGGCACCGGGGCACCGTGCCCCCTTTGATTTTGGCAATTTAACATTAGCCCTATGGGCGATGCATGGAAAGAATGGGACCCAAAGTCGGCAGTGCCCCCCTTAATTGAAGGTGTTCCGCCGCTACTGATCATACGTGGTGGTTGCTTTAGGTATTTGTCACAACTCTGAACTCATAATCTCTTTTGGTCTCCACTCTCCACTTCCAGTATGAATGGGCGGCGCGGGTCGGCGCGAAGCGTCGCGAGATTTTCGTGGAGGTCGGAAATGTATATGCATAGATGTCGCTACAATAGCTTGACATGCAGTGCAAATTGTAGCAGACAGCAGTAGTTTCCCCTACCAAAGTGGTGGTTTTCTACCACAGACGCTCGTCGAGGTCGGAAATTCCAAATACGCGCGAACTACAGGGTGGAAAGAAAAATATGTTCTCATTTTCACAGCCCATAAAGTCAAAACGAATACAAATATCAGAAGATGTATTGGCCAATATGCTTCACCAGTTCAGGAAGTTTTGTTTCTCTTGTCACCCATACTCCTCCTCGCCTCTGGACGCCCATCACAGCACGCAGGCGCGCACCCAGGATTTTCCAGGGGAGGGGGCCCGGGCGAACAGGGGCCTCCGTATTCCGGTTGCCGGGGGGCCTCTGTCTAGCGAGGGGGCCTCCATTTCGCTAACTTTGTGACGGCTGTTTGTATGATAGGTGACGTTCTTAGCGATCTCACTAAATAGTTAAACTCATTGGCTCTGTAAGCATATGACTCAATAGCCAGCAAACGTTGTCGTGCTGGAAGGCCTTCTGGTAACCCTCTTAACGCCCTAAAACGTTACGTAACGACTAAGCGCTCTACCCAGAATAGAACTCACCCTATCCCATCAGTAGATAAGTACACAAAGCTCAATGAACAAATCTCATTACCTTTGAGATTTGCATGCTTTTGTTTGCATTGACGTCGTGTCGTCACCTGTGCCTGTGGCAACATGTCATCTTTGAGAGGCAAAAGGTAATAGTCAACAGATATATTCCTGAAGCCTCACTGAACACTCACCGGTGCGACCAGTCGACAGCACCTCTGAGAGAGCTGGACTCAATCAAACTGAGCGCCGGGGGCGCGTCTTCATGAAGCGGTCTGCTACCATGGACGGATCCAGCGAGGCCACGCCGTGTGCACTCATCAGAATGAGGCTCTCCAACCGGCTCTCTCCCATTGTTGTCCGCTGTTCAGTCTCAACACGCTTCAGTGTCGAGAAACTTCGTTCTGCAGAACAGCTTGTGACGGGGAGGGTCATGAGGATTTGAAGCAGTGTCTTGACGTTCGGAAGTGAGCCCGCCATCCGGAATGCGTCTCCCACAGTCTGTGGGCGGTTGGTTGCTGATGCTACCATGGCACGCCAAAGCACAAGTTCCGACCGGAGGTTGACTGGGCTCGGCAGATCTTTGTGGTACGCTTCAGCACACTCGACAACTGCGGAGAGGTCAGCGGTCCCTATGCGTGCTGGAAGGACTCCCTCCAGTTGCAGGCCAGGATGATCTTCCGGGAAGCGCTCCTTCAGCTCCTTGATCATTTGGTCGATGAAAGGGTTGAACACGTTGATCCGGTAGTTCGTCTCTGGATCTGATGACACGGAGCTGTTAGGTCGGTGCACTTGTCGAGACGAGCCTCTCGGAGCGATGACTGGTATGTCCAGCTTGTCAGCCAGTGCAGCAGCCTTTTTCATCACAGCTGGGAACTCTTCTCTTGCGTCTTGCACTGCCTGCTGGACTTCGTTGATTTTTTGCATGGCATCACTCAGTGACTGCTGGGGATTTTGGAGGCAGATCGACAGACCCAGTGTGATGCCGAAGAGGAGCACAGCCATCTCAAGACAGATTAGGAAGTCGAAGCGGGTGATCGCTGCCAGATGTCCGGACGCTTTTTGAGCTGCGTCGCTGCTTCCCTCCCGCTCAACGTGTTCGAGTGCTGCGACGATGGGAACTAGCAGCTGTTCGAAGGTCAGCAGGGACTCGTGCTGCTCCACCCATCGAGTTCGGCACAGCGCCTTCAGTCTCTTTTTCTTTTGCTCCTCGCCCAACTGTTCCACTTTTTCCTCCAGAAGCTGCACTCGAGCCGCGGAGTCGTTGAAAAAGTTGGAAGCGACGGACACGACACCCAGCATGTTGCGCACCCCTGGGACAGTTAGTGCCCGACCTAGCGCAAGGTTTAGCCGGTGAGAGGCGCAGTGAGTGTACACGGCCAACGGCTGAAGAGTCCTGATTCGGGACTGAGCACCGCTAATTCGCCCGCTCATGTTTCCACCGCCGTCATAGCCCTGACCCCTCACGCCATCTAGTGATAGGTCCAGTTTTTGTAGGGCGTCGATGATCATCTTCGAGAGCGCTTCTCCAGTCGTCTTCTCAGGGTTCAGCAGAGCCACCATATCCTCTCGCACCGTTCCATCTTCAGCTACGTACCGAAGAACGAGAGCGAGCTGTCCCCGTTTGTTTCGGTCGGTCGTCTCATCGGCGATGATCGTGTACATGCTTGCTTTTTTATCTTTTCCACGATGTTCTCCTTGATCATCTGTCCGCATACAAGGATAATCTGATTTTGCACGTTCCAGCTCGTTAGCTGCATGTTCTTCGGGGCTGTTCTAATGCTATCTTCTAGCAGCCTGTCCCCTTGCGCCCGATACCTTAGCAAGGCTTTGAAGTTTCCTTCTCCTCTTTTCGGAACGGCATCAAGGTCCAGCGGACTGTCGTCACGATGGCCTCGCAGTGCCAACTCTTGAGCACCGCAGAGCAGCACAGTCTGGATCACCGGCAGAAGTCTTTTCTTGTAGTCTGCTTCTTGCTGTTCCCGCTTCCTTCTTTCTTCTCTCCTCTGTCCATCCACCAGCTCGTCGATGCCCATTCTTCCCATCAGGACTTCTTCAACCATTGTGACCGCGTCTGCATGATACTCCGTGGTTTGGTGCTGACGCAGATGCCGTTTTGCGTCTTTGAACCGCTTGAATGGCTCAGTGACGAAACTTCTCAGCGCCTGGTCTCCTGAAGCCCTCCCGCTGATTTGCCTCCCCATCAGCACACAGTATCGACAAAAGCCGCCTTCAAGTCCCGGCACAGCACTGTAAGTGAGCCAGGGAAACTCAGCGATGTGATCTCGCTGGAACTTCCGATTTTTACCGCCAGCATCAGGAACCACTGGGAATCGGTATGATGGCGGCGGAGTCCATGGGTCTTTCAGAAGTCGTCTTCTCTCCTCCAACGGGAGCTGTTTCGCGCAGACGTAGTTGCCAATGTCATCCGGATGCACAGAGGATGCGACAGCATTGCAGGATCCAGGCGCTGAAAGAAAGGAAGGTAGGATGTAGAGGAAAAGGACACAGAAGTTTGCAGTACCGTAATTGAAGGACGCAAGACCAAAGTGAAAGTAACGTACTCGTTCGACTGGCTGGGACATGGCGTAATGAACTATCCCCAATTGAAAGGAAACCGGAAATGTTCGCCCACTTCAACATTAAACGCGATTAGTGACGACATCGTGCATATCATGTACATATAATGTTAACCCGCGCGTGCTACTGGTCTGAGTTTTCCATGCCGTGCTAGGGAAGGGGGAGGGGCGTTTTCAAGCTTCCCCCCCGTCGAACTCGGCTCCTGAGCCACGTAGCGACACGCGGTAGAAATTCGAAAGAGCGTCAAAAATAATGAAGAAAAATCTTCGGTCATTTTTTGGTTCAGGTCAAAGATCAGGTCACCAGAGATCATCGAAGGTCAAATTTTGCCCAGTTGAACAGCTTTTGACGAATCGGCGCGTGACTCGGGAACCATTACAGTTTGAGCGCCACGGAAAAGCGCATTCGATACTCAAACAGCCGTTTGTGAATTGTGACGATAGCGGACAGGTAAGTTAGGTAACACAGGTAGCCAATCAAGCTATCCAATATACTGACCGTTCCCGGAGTCCCGGTCATCGATGTCTGCAGCGGCGCCGCTCGTCGGCCTCTGCACACCGGCCGCTGGGACTGGCGGATGCGGCTGTCTGGTGGCAGCAGCCGACCCCGAACAGGACGGGAGAGGATCTGCCAAGGAGAGTCGGCGATAAGTAATTAGCTCAAACAGCCGTTTGTGAGTTGTGGCGATAGGATAGCGGACAGGTAAGTTAGGTAACACAGGTAGCCAATCAAGCTATCCAATATACTGACCGTTCCCGGAGTCCCGGTCATCGATGTCTGCAGCGGCGCCGCTCGTCGGCCTCTGCACACCGGCCGCTGGGACTGGCGGATGCGGCTGTCGGGTGGCAGCAGCCGACCCCGAACAGGACGGGAGAGGATCTGCCAAGGAGAGTCGGCGATAAGTAATTAGCTCAAACAGCCGTTTGTGAATTGTGGCGATAGCGGACAGGTAAGTTAGGTAACACAGGTAGCCAATCCAGCTATCCAATATACTGACCGTTCCCGGAGTCCCGGTCATCGATGTCTGCAGCGGCGCCGCTCGTCGGCCTCTGCACACCGGCCGCTGGGACTGGCGGATGCGGCTGTCTGGTGGCAGCAGCCGACCCCGAACAGGACGGGAGAGGATCTGCCAGGGAGAGTTGGCGATCAGTAGACAATAATTAGCTCAAACAGCCGTTTGTGAATTGTGACGATAGCGGACAGGTAAGTTAGGTAACACAGGTAGCCAATCAAGCTATCCAATATACTGACCGTTCCCGGAGTCCCGGTCATCGATGTTTGCAGCGGCGCCGCTCGTCGGCCTCTGCACACCGGCCGCTGGGACTGGCGGATGCGGCTGTCGGGTGGCATCAGCCGACCCGGAATAGGACGGGAGAGGATCTGCCAGGGAGAGTCGGCGATAAGTAATTAGCTCAAACAGCCGTTTGTGAATTGTGGCGATAGCGGACAGGTAAGTTCGGTAACACAGGTAGCCAATCAAGCTATCCAATATACTGACCGTTCCCGGAGTCCCGGTCATCGATGTCTGCAGCGGCGCCGCTCGTCGGCCTCTGCACACCGGCCGCTGGGACTGGCGGATGCGGCTGTCTGGTGGCAGCAGCCGACCCCGAACAGGACGGGAGAGGATCTGCCAGGGAGAGTCGGCGATCAGTAATTAGCTCAAACAGCCGTTTGTGAGTTGTGGCGATAGCGGACAGGTAAGTTAGGTAACACAGGTAGCCAATCAAGCTATCCAATATACTGACCGTTCCCGGAGTCCCGGTCATCGATGTCTGCAGCGGCGCCGCTCGTCGGCCTCTGCACACCGGCCGCTGGGACTGGCGGATGCGGCTGTCTGGTGGCAGCAGCCGACCCCGAACAGGACGGGAGAGGATCTGCCAGGGAGAGTTGGCGATCAGTAGACAATAATTAGCTCAAACAGCCGTTTGTGAATTGTGACGATAGCGGACAGGTAAGTTAGGTAACACAGGTAGCCAATCAAGCTATCCAATATACTGACCGTTCCCGGAGTCCCGGTCATCGATGTCTGCAGCGGCGCCGCTCGTCGGCCTCTGCACACCGGCCGCTGGGACTGGCGGATGCGGCTGTCTGGTGGCAGCAGCCGACCCGGAACAGGACGGGAGAGGATCTGCCAGGGAGAGTTGGCGATCAGTAGACAATAATTAGCTCAAACAGCCGTTTGTGAATTGTGACGATAGCGGACAGGTAAGTTAGGTAACACAGGTAGCCAATCAAGCTATCCAATATACTGACCGTTCCCGGAGTCCCGGTCATCGATGTCTGCAGCGGCGCCGCTCGTCGGCCTCTGCACACCGGCCGCTGGGACTGGCGGATGCGGCTGTCGGGTGGCAGCAGCCGACCCGGAACAGGACGGGAGAGGATGTGCCAGGGAGAGTCGGCGATCAGTAATTAGCTCAAACAGCCGTTTGTGAATTGTGGCGATAGCGGACAGGTAAGTTAGGTAACACAGGTAGCCAATCAAGCTATCCAATATACTGACCGTTCCCGGAGTCCCGGTCATCGATGTCTGCAGTGGCGCCGCTCGTCGGCCTCTGCACACCGGCCGACAAAAAGATAAAATGTATTACAAATATATTCCTAGCATTCCTAGCAAATATATTACAAACAAAAATTGGGATAATTACTTCTGATAAAAATTTAGGATACTGACCGTTAACAGCGCGTTCTCCAAAAAGAAAAGAGTCTAGTTTTTTGAATTTCCTAGCTTCATCGGCTGCCTCTTTTTGCCGTTTCCTTTTTCGCTTTTGAAAGCCACTAGCGTTCTTCCACATTGTTGACGCAAGATGCCACCTGCGGATCACATACATCACGGACCGAAGTAAACGGCAAGAGTCATAATAGGTAATCAAGGCATTTTGTCATTGAGGTCACGCCATGTCCATTTTATAAATTTTGTCAAATACCATAGCATTCAGTTGGCCTTGACGAGAGGATCACAATGGTAGGTAGAAATAGTTGGTATATAGCTCTAACAGCTTATACCTTCGACGTTATGGTGGTGGTGGTGGTGGGAGGATGACCGGGAGGGGGGAATCGTTTCATTGTCCAGTGTTTTTCTTCTTCTTCAGAACGACGGCAGGCGGAAGATTCCGAGAGGCCGTGCGACCTCCTGAGCGGCAGCGGCCTCAGCGGGAGCGACAGTTGGTCCGATGACTGGGCGTTGGCAATCCTTGCGACAGGACGAACTTGCAGTGTGACCCGTAGCGGGTAGATAGAGTAGAGTCACCCTGCTCCAAGCGTGAATTTTGAGTGCACTCAGCAGCCAGTAGATGGTGCCACCCATTTCCGGTGGCGAGCAGCAAGATATGGTGCCGACCGGGTACGTGGCGTGGGAGAGTACAAGACGTCGGCACTGCGATCGGGCATCTCAGAGCAAATGTTATGCAATCGGCGGTGCAGCACAAAAAAAAAAAACAGGCTAGTGTCGGAAGGCCACGGGCTCAAAACTCTGGAAACAAACGTAACCGTCGAAAGTGGACGAAGGACGTCTGCACTGGTAATGCTAAATCATGCAAAAGTGGGCAAGAGTCACCGTTTTATGGGTTGGTCAACAATTATTTACAAGAACAGGGGAGGTTAAAAACCTCATATTCACGTTACGCTTTATATATCTTTAACATACCTGTAAAAAAACGAACCGGAGCGATGCGAACTCCGTGCGATCCAAATTCCGAAGGACAAGGCCGTTAAACGTAAACATTCAGCTGACGCGAAGGTCATTAAAAAGATGCTACTAAATCGCAAAATTGAGGGCACTTCAAGATTTGAACAATGTCTGTGTAGAAATGAACTAACAACTTTTTCAATTAGAGGAAAACGGTTTAAGTAATAATGTGTACAGAGGGCCCTTAATTTGTACAGATGGCATCATGGCCTTCAGATTGTCCAGCACCAGAGGTCTACTGCCGGTACCGAGGGCCTCCTATAGGTATGTAAAGGGAGCCTCCTATCGTACAGAGAGCCTTCTGTTGGTACAAACTACAGTGTGCCTCTGATTTGTCAAGGAGGCCTCCTGTTGGTACGGATGGTCTCTCACGTGTACAGAGCGCTCCCGTTTGTACAGAGGGCATCTTATTCGTCCAGTGACCTCCTGTGGGTACAGAGTGCCTCTGTTTGTCAATTTTCCAGGGGGTCTCCTGTTGTACAGTTGTACAGGAGGCCTCCTATATGTGCAGGGGGCTTCTCATTTGCAAAAGAGGGTCTAATATTTTTCCAGGGGGCCTCCTGTTGGAACAGAGGGCCTCCTATCTGTACAGGGGGCCTCCCATTTGTACAGAGGGCCTCTTGCTCGTTTAGAGGGTCTCTGAGTTGCCCAGGGGGCCTCCTGCTGGTACAGAGGGCCTCATATTTGTCAAGGGGGCCTCCCGTTGCTACAGAGGGCCTCCCATTTGTACAGAGGGCCTCCCATGTGCACAAAGGCTTCCCATTCATGTACAGAGGGGGCCTCCCATGCGTGCAAAGGGCCTCCTGAAGGCACAGAGGGCCTCCTATCTGTACATGGGGCCTCCTATTGATATTGAGGGCCTCCCATTTGTACAGAGGGCCTCCTGTTAGTAGAGGGCCCAGGCCTCCTATCTGAACAGGGGCCTCCCATTTGTAAAGAGGGCCTCTTATTTGTCCAGGGGGCCTCCTGTTGGTAGAGGGCCCCTATTTGTCAAGGGGCCTCCTGCTGGTACACAGGGCCTCCTATATTGACCAAAGGACCTCCTGTCGGTAGCACTGATCAGTACCCGAGTTAAAAGTACCCGAAGCTCTGATCAGGTTCAGGGGCCTCCTAAAAATACCCGAGGAGGGGGGGGGGCCGGGCCCCAGGCCCCCCCCCCTTGGGTGCGCCACTGACAGCACGTGTTCCAGATGGCCTCCATTTCGCAGGATGCAGAGCTCCGTGCGCTTTCCAACCTCAGCGATGGCTTTGGCGCATGTCTGAGGCGTGATTGCACGCGCCACCTTTCGGATCGCCTTCTTTAGGTCCGGGAGACCCTCTGGTTTCATGGCGTACACCTGCGTCTTCATGAAGCCCCACAGATAAAAATCCAGGGGCGTCAGATCTGGGGAGTGGGCCGGCCACGGGATCTCGGTCTTCTGGCTGATCACGCGGCCTCCAAAGTGCTCCTCCAGCCAGGAGAGGGCCAATCTTGAGGTGTGGGGAGGTGCCCGTCTTGCTGAAACCAGATGTTCTCGGTGGAAACATCCGGATCTGTCACTAGTGTGCGCCAGAGCCTCTCCAGCACTTTGACGTAACGCTCCTTGTTGATGGTGATGGTGGCGCCGTTCGAGGTCTCGAAGAAAAATGGCCCGATAAGGCCACCAGCGGTCACAGCACACCAACACGTCACCTTCGGGCTGTGCATCGGGCTCTCCTGCACTGTGTCTGGACGGCTGGAAGCCCACAATCGGCTGTTCTGGCTGTTGACAGTGCCGTTCAAATGAAAGTGTGCTTCGTCGCTGAAGATGATCCGTTTCAAGAACGCAGGATCCGAGTCAGTCTTCTCCTTCAGCCAGTTCGAAAACGCCAGTCGTTGTTCCTGATCACCGTCATAGAGTTTCTGGTGGGTGGTGATCCTAAAGGGAGTAAGCTTCAAGTCTTCACGCAAGATATGGCGGACGGTAGTGTGACTGGTTCCTATCTCTTGCGCCAGCTTCCGGATCGATTTCGATGGAGTGGTTGAGATGACGTTCTTGACCTTCAAGATGTCATGGTCTGTTCGTTTTGACCTTTTTCTGCCACTTTTTCCCTTATGCTGATTGAGAACCGAACCATGAGCCAAAAATTTTTCCTGAAGTCGCAAAATTGATTTAGCGCATGGGGCGCGCTTCGTCTTGAAGTGTGTCCTGAACTTTCTCTTGGTGGCGATGATTGATCTAGTTTCCCAGTACCATTTGACCACTTTGGTCTTTTCCTCCGTCCCAAGCAACATGTTTGCTCAGAGTGAACGTGCCGTATCTCATTACAAACTTCAAGGCACGTGCAAACTGATAAAATAAAAAATCACGCGCAAATGCATATAATGGGTCCGCCATATTGATTCAAAATCAGAACATATTTTTCTTTCCACCCTGTACTCCATTCAGTTTGAGGACCCCAGCAGTGATGTCATGGCCTGTATCATAAAACGTACGCTGTGACACGATCCTACGCCAGCGGCAAAAGAACTGCTGTATGACGCAGGCACCAGCGGCTGACAACTGGGTCGAAACAGGTGGAGGCCGGCCAGGGGTCATGCTCGTATCGCTCTCCCTTGACCCCGTCCACCGCCCCAGGCGGATACCGGCGCCGCTTGGGTTCACCAGTCGGGCGCTCATTGGTCTGTCTTGGTGGGCGTCGATCACTGTTAACACAGTGTGCGTAACACGTAAAATCACAACGAAGCAAATTTCCGTCATCACCATACTCTGAAGAGGCCTTCTAAACGACGTAAACAGGTCATGGGAGGGGGCGGGGGCGGTAATCTGGCATCAAATAAGGCTTTTAAAAAGAAAACGGCTGGACGGTCAATATTTTTTGTCGCTGTTCGCTAGCCGGCTCATTAAAAAAGAGAGCACGTTCAAATTAAGGCCTATGTGGGTAGAGAGCATATATTTTTGTGATTCGAATCCGCTCGCGGGTGCGCCTGCAACCACGGATGCATTCTGTTAGCGGGTGCAACTGATTTTTTTCGTCTTCGTGCACTGGTTTCTGGGTTATACCAAAAACCTGTGGTAGCAGGTAGTCGTGCCGATGACGGATCAAATTTTCAACTTTGTAATGAAACAAATCTCAACAAATCCTCTACGAGTAGGGTGGCTCCCGTTGACCACATGCTTACTGCCATCACAAGTTACCGCACGGCGACCGCCCGCCCCCCCCCCCCATCCCTGCGCAACCACTCCCCTCGCCCGCCGCACCGGCTGCCACCGCGTGTCAGGCCTCGGTCAAAGCTACCAGCGGCTCTCAAACTTTCCGCCACACCGCGGCTGAGACAGATGGCGCCCTCCCCTCAGAGTCGCGATACTTTCAAGAGGGACTATACATTTGGCACCGTATAGTTATTATTACTGAACGTAACGACAACTAATGACTCTTAATAACTTTTTTACTCACCTAAAGCTGATTTCCTTGCCGGTACATTGCCGACCCGAGCCCCAGGGTGACAATCATGGGATATGGGTCGGATGGGCGACCTCGCGACGGGAGAGGGAACGATTGCAATTGTTGTGTCCCGCACCGCCGATTGCATTCTCTATCTGCACCCGGGGGCAGGGGGCACGTGCCCTTATCGGATTAGGGGGCCTCGGGCCCGAGGGGTCTTGCGACGCTGAGGGTCCACGCATAGCATCTTTCGACTCAGAAGGGCCCCACAGGGCTCGGAAGAACATCTTATGTGCTCTGAAGAGCCACACTTCTCTCCAAAGAGCCCCACACCGGCTTTTTAGTGTCCCTTGTCGGCCTTTGAGGGCCCCTTGCCGGCTTCTCAGGGCCTTTGGCGACCTCTGAGGGCTACTTGCCGGCCTCTGAGGGCCCTTACCGGTCTATCAGGGACCAGCAGCTCTAAGGGTTCCACACACGCCTGCGATGACCCATGGTTGAATGCCCCCACAACGAAACCAGTGCTTCTCAACGCCATATATCGGCGGCTCTGAGGGCTCAACGCTGGAGCCTCTGACGGCCTCAGACGGGACCTGCGCATCGGACGGCCACTCACCGGTGACTTTTGAGGGCCCCACACCGAAGACTCTGAGGGCCCCACTGGCGTCTGAGTGCACCTTGCTGGGCTCTAAGGACTCCACAGGGCTCCCGAAGGCACCGCAGACCTCTTGAGAGCCCCTTGTCGGTCTCTGAGAGCCCCTGTCGGCCTGTGAAGGGTTCGAGCCAGCAGCTCTGAGGGTCCCACACCCGACTGTGACGACCCCACACTGCAGTGTCTCTGAGGGCCCACAACGGTAGCTGTGAGGACCCTCACCGGCGCCTCTGGGGACCCTGCATCAATGCCTCTGAGAGCCTCACACCGATACTTGTGAGGGCCCACACCAGTGCCTCCAAAGGCTTCATAACCGGCGGCCCTGAGGGCCCTACACGGGTGATTTTGAGGGGCCTACCGAGGGCACCACTTAATCCCTTAGTCTCGCTGAGCTTCTATCTCCATCCCATACCGGCTTTTATCCCAATTCCGGCTCAACTAATTATAAGCAGCCCCCTCCATGGGTCAGCAGCGCCGCGCCGGTGCCGGGGGCCAGCGCCATCGGGGCCGCAGTCGGCCACGCGCACTCAATGGTTAGCGCTTAGCACCAGCGGCTAGCGCACGCCCGGTGTGTTATTCGGCCGTGAGCCGCTCCAAAACGGCTGTAGTAACTGGTCGATATAGGTAGTAAGCAGATGCAGAGATGCAGGAGGATTGATGACTGGCAAGCTTTTGTGTTTTACGAGGGTGAAGGGTGGAAGTCGGCTGCTAAGTGGTGAGCGGATTTTATCAGATGCCGGTTCACTATATGACCTTTGTTCGGGTCCTGGTACCCTGACGCACTCTTGGAGAGCCGAATCACAGCAAAACTCCATCCACGACTGTATCTAAACGGCTTACGCTTTTCTGAAAACGTCTGCGTGTGGCCTTCTACGGGCCCGCCCGGCCGGCCGGCCTGCCCCGACTGGCGGTCCACCAGTGACGTCACCGGTAGTGTTAAGC